GACGGTACAATGAAGGAGGTGGACACGGGGATCCGGGAATATGACCACCCGTCTACGGGCACATGGTGGAACAAGATGCAGGAGAAGGTGGGCCCCAACAAACCCAGGGACCTTGCAGCAATCGTGCTTGCTTCCTCCGGTTTGGTCAGCATCATGTGATCAATGTTGGCGGCAACCAATACCTGCTTGCTCGAGCTTGCAAGTGGGCCTTGAAAGTGAGCCTTTCTTCTTCAACTTTCTGACGCGTGACTGCCTGCAGATTGACCAAGATCCCAAATTCCAAGGCGAGCATGTGGTGCTACCCATCATCATATACCTGGACAAAACTACCATGGACGGCCTCCGCCGCGTGTCCGTGTTCCCTATGTACGTGTCCCTTGCCAACTTCAGCTGGGGCTTCTACAACGAGAGAGGTGGTTTGGAGCTCGTCGCCTTGCTCCCACAGCCCAAGCCCGATCCCGACTGGCCGCAGCCTGGCTACAAGCCCAAGTCGGACGCGCACCGCGACGTGAAGCACCACTTCATCACCAGTTCGTTGCCGATCATCACGGCGAGCGCGCGGAAGGCGTCGTGGTCAGGGATCGACTTCGTGGACCCGCATGGCGTCCACCGGAAGGGCGTTCCGCAGCTGTTCTGCATCAGCAAAGACCTCGGAGAGGCCTCCACCATCTCAAACGTCAAAAGTAACCACTGCGACTCCTGCCTCGTCCCGCCAAAGGAGTTGAACCGACTCTACGAGGCCGTCGATGGCGATTACCCTCCGCGAGAGGAAAAGAAGATGCGTGTGGCTGTTAACACCATCCTCGACCTCAAAGAAGACCCACGGGTGCCCATGGTCCGGGTTACGGAGGAGATGAAGAAGCACGGGGTGCACCCCCAGATGGTGAGAGGGAACACGCCATTTGCTGAGAGACTGACGCCCAGAATCCAATCGAAGAGTTACGTTATAGAACCCTTGATCGGAGAGGCGCGCACAGACTTTCAAAATTCTTTGCCAGCGCCCAAGATCCTGTCAAAGTGCTTCAGAGTCTCGGTATCAGAAGGTGTGCGCCTTCGTGTTGAGGTTTCGCAAAAGCTAGCGGAAAAAGTTCCACATGGCGTACTGAAGTACTGATCATGAGTCGGCAGCATCGACGAACCGTTTCCCGCAATCAACTCTTGCGGTCGGCCTTTTGCAGCCATGGTTCTTCGGCTGGAAGTACGGCACCCGGCCCTGGAACGCCCCTTACCCCAAGATGGTCCCCGACGATCTGCACACAGTGTACGGCGGGGTGTTGGGGTCCCACTTCCTCAACATTCTGGACGCGGTCGCCGAGATTCACCCAGATGGCAAGGCAACCTTCCTCTCACTAATGAACATACGCCTCCACCAAATCTACCTCTACTACAACCCCGGTTTGCGGCTGCCAGCGAGCAAGGAGTTTTTCACAGAGCGCTACTCCGTGCCCAACTATGAGTGGAAGGCCGTCATGCAGGTAATCGATTCAGACCATTGGGCTGAGTGGTGTGAAGCTTGGAATAGACAATTGTCGTGTGATCGGACGGCCATTATTAATAGGCTGTAAGCGACCTTCACCACCTTTCAAATCATAGTTAATCTGTCCTCCAACTCATACCCTCCCTATGTTGCATCTTCAGGTGCTCCCGATCCTGGTGTCAGGTCTGTTCCGTTCAAACGGGGTAGACCTCCTCGTGGAATGGGCGGTGGCTTTGGTGGACTGGGTTCAAGGCGACCTTTTGGCTCGAAAAGGGCATCCACAACGAGGATACCCTGAAGGAGTCCGATCGTCTGCTCCGCCATTTTGACGACAAGTGCACCGCGATCGCCGGCCTGCAAAATTCGGCGTGGAATTTCCGCAAGTATCACGACCTCTCCAAGTTCACTGCCACCGTTCGGCGCCTAGGGGCCACTCGCTGGACATCCACGGAGAGGGGAGAGCACGAGCACCACTGGGTCAAGATTTGGTGGTCTAGCATGAACGGGAGGAATGTGGACGAAGCGATGTTCGAAGCGTGAGTGAAGTAAACTTGCAAGCAAAGTTCAAGCAGCGTAAGGATGCGGGGAACTGCAAGTGGTCCAAGTGATTATTCCTAAATCCCTAGAAGATCGCGTGCTTCGATCACGCCCGATTCTGCTTCGATTGCTCTAACGATCTGCTCGTCGGATTGACTTTCTCGATCTAGTAGCTGTGGGGTTCGGCCATGCGCACCGCCCACAGTCTGCATCCTTGTCTCTGCATAACTCCCCATCTGGCTGCCGCACTCTGGATCAGGGTCCGCTTGACCGTCCTCCAGGATCTCCGTGGTCCCGACTCCTCCGTTCCCGCTCGGTTTGCTGACGTCATCTTCGTCATCAGATGAAGGCAGAGGCGTTGTATCCGCCCACGCCGGAAGCAGCTCAGTGGCCGCAGGGTCTGAGTCTTCGTGACAAGACGGCACCTCTGGAGAAGGTTGGAGCCCTGTCCGTGGAGTCTGTGGGCTGTCTGGCGAGTGGTCGCTTCCAGGAAGGGCGCTCGCGGGGGCTGAATCGTCGAAACTGCTGCGGTGCTGATTGTCGGCGTGCGCAGGTCTCTGCAAGAAAATAAACCTGGCATATGCTCAATGATACATAACATTACGTAGGTTAGAGAATCAAATTTGTTTTGCTATGCAAATGGAGTTGCTTCATTGACTGAGGGTACGAAGAGAGGCGGAAAGAGCTACGAACTTCGTATGAAAGGTTGGATGACCGACCTTGATCAGCGAAGCTAGAGCGGCGCAAGCCTCGATCTCCTGGTCCGTATACAGGTCGTACCCATGTCTTGATAGGTGCGGAATAATAAGTGTCGTCAGTAATGCAACTCGTTTGGCACCGTTGGATGCAACAGTCACGTTGAAAGCAACGGATGCAAAACGGGCTACACAGGGGCTTCAGAGATGCTGCGCCTTCGCCTGCAAGTGCGTCACTGACGAATACTTCGTCAGCTCACGCACAAACTCGGCGCAGGCTCTGCAGTGTAGTACCCGTTCACTGTAACCGGCTCAAAATGCGTATACATTCCGGGATTACGATGACCCAGAAGTTTGTGGGTCAATAGGGAAGTTGCGTGCCTGTCATCGAACGGCGGAAGGCCTTCCAATCCGGTACAGTTTGACCAGATCCGTCCATTGTATGGATTAACTTACCTGTGCGAGGCCGGCGAGTGTCACGCTCGCTTCGAGCTCGGGTGAAGCACCTTCGATGTCCGGCGGCGAAGCTTCCTGCGCACAATAAATTTGAATGATGCTCAGCTGTCACAACTTCTTCCGGGTCGGCGGTCGCTTGATCGTACGACGAAGACTGCAGATGGCTCTGACATCGGCGGCAGAGACAAGTTCTCTGACCCACAATCTGCTCATCACTGGAAAGGAAGCTTAATAAGGGAAATAATTTCACAGATTTCCAGACGGCCGCCGGGTGATCTGCTGAGCGAGATAGTTGGCGGCAGTGGTGGCAAGAATGCCATAGCACGTCCGCTTTCAATCGCTCAATAGTGCGCATTGGCTAGCCTCGGCGTACCGTTTTGCTCTTGATTTATTAGATTCAATGAATAAGTTTCTGTGGAAAAGGAAGGAAAAACAAAACGGGTTACAGCAATTTCCCCTAACCTCGTTGAGCCTTACACCTTCAGTACATGTATGACTGGCAAATGCTTTGCCAGCACACAAGTCGGAGGCGCGGCCCAGACTTTGCACTGTAGGACCCGTTCGAGGAGATCTGACGACATTCCGCCTTATGAACCCGGATATCACTTTTCGAATTCTTCGTGGGCCGCTAGGCAGCTACGTGGTCGCCGTTCAACCGTCGATAGTCAGGCTCGTACTTGCAAAACGGTGCGCCATGGCGGCATCTCTTTCAAGACACCCTTTGAGCGAGCGAGACGACCAAATTGAGAGCTGGCATTTTTGCCGGCGTCACTTTGGGCCCCATTATGCCCAGTGGCTCGCCTAGCGACCGTCTGGTATCTCGAGGAGTTACGACTGTTTATAAACCAAGGCTTCTGCCCGGTCGAGGATTTGTGGGCCGCTGAAGTCGGTCCCTGCCGTTGATCGCGGGGCGATTTGACATGTTTGCCGTTGATCAGCCGGCATGACATTGGCAGGATTACCTCTACTTCGAACAATTGGCGGGTCCTCCTTAGGGTCAATCGACGGTTGCGATGACCGCCACGCAACCCTTCGATCAATGCACGAAATGCCGAAAAAAGAAAAAAAGAGAAATATTTAAACGAAAACAACATCACTCTGAACATCAGTCACTCTTGAGCATTCTGACCTGTGCATGAGGCTCTGGAACGTAGCCCGTGCGTGCTGCAGAAGGTACCTCCAAGAGGGAGCGCACGACATGCACTGCTTCGCTGACGAGATGCTCCGGTAAGCTGTTGGCAGGCGATCGGTAGCCTGTAAAGAAAAGAACTGCCTCAGACTATCAGCTGTAATTATGGGTGGCGATGGCTTCCGACTCCGAGCAGAAACTTGGTTCATGTGTTGCCTGTTGTGGACGCGAGATGCAACACGACGTTACCAGTGGTTGCAAGTTGTTGTGCTTTGGAGTCAGTGGTTTACCTTGACAGGCTTGGTCGTGGCACTTTTGATAGTAAGTGCCTCGATTGAGGTCCACCACCACGTACACTGAACAAGCGGAAGAGCGAGAATGTTAGCTGCTTACACGGACTAGTGTCTTTGATCGGGGCTTGGATCAGGACTGCTTGAGCGGATTATGTTTCCAACAATGGGAAGGCTTCAGAATACAGCCAAGTTTTCGACGCCGTTGAACGATTGCTTCAAAGAAAGTTCTGAAGCTTTTGGTGTGATCCGCACTCACCCCGGTTCTGGCTGTGCTCCCTCATGACGTTAAAGCAGAAGTTGGTTCCTCTGAACCGAAAAGAGATGTAGTTCCCGTTTTCACCAGCGAACAGTACCGACGACTGTACGCTGGCGACTGCAGCGAAAGGAAAAAGTTTGGAAATTGCCCGTACTGTAACGTAATCAAAATGAATGGATAGAGCTGAAAAGAATCATAAGCTTTTAAACCGGGACACCGTAATGAAGGCCAGAACGCAGCTTAGAAATCTGTTGCGCTGCTCAAGAGACGATGGAGTTGGGCAGGAACGTGTTCGCTTACATGAAACCCGGTGTTTTTCTGCACAAGCTCTTCAATGTATGTTGACAAAGACGGAATATTGCACTGGAACTGCTGTGACTGCTTTGACGGTGTAGCGGTCAGGGGTTCTGATGGCGTGTTGAATGTGGGGCTGCGGATCGACTGGAACTAGGGGCTTCCGGTTGGTTGTCGAACCTGCGTGTCGAATATTGTGGGATGCTGGCTTGAATCTGTATTCTCCTTATATAACCGTGACGGTCAACAGTACGCAACTTTGTGCACGAATGTTTCTTATCAAGAAGCATTGGGGACGTCTGTGATTTTAGGAGTTGAACCTCACTTGCATGCGCCTGACGTCCGGCAGAGGTGAGCTGGTGATGGACACGTTGGAACCCAAGGAGTGAATCAGCTGTAGCGTGAGGTCCTGCAAAAGGCAACACTTTTAGACAAGGAGAACAGGAATGTGACTCAGCCGGGCTGATTCGTGCATACGACCTTTTTGTGTCTGTAGGCAATCCTTGCCTCGCATGGGATTGGCTGGGTGGATAAAATCAGCGAGAGCCTCACCTCGTCCTTGAAGTACCTGCAGGTCGGCACAAAGGGAACAGATGGTCCTTCTAGTTTTCTCGACAGGAGGCATCGTAGGTGTCTGCTCTTCGTGTAAACGCCTAAGTCGATGAATAGAGTTTGGGGGAGGCCAGGAGCTTGGTTGACCAGCAGCTCTTTGCAAAGTCTGTCCCCGTCAGAGGCGCGGTTGCGGATCAGGTTGCAGACCTGAAGGTAAGAGAGCAAGAGAGTATAAGTTCGGCATCCAGGACCAACTCGAACTCTTAAAGCTTTTGATATGCGTTCACAGACGTGCTTCTGGAGGCATTGTGCACCAAGCTCCACACAAAGATGTATCGGTGAATGGTTTTTCATCATCGTCTTTCACTTACCTCCTCCATGAAGTACCGCATCTGTTCGTGGACGTTTTTGAAGCACCGGTGGAAGATCGGTACGATCACATGGCGGGAGACTTTAGCTGCAAACGTACGGTTCGGAATCAGGGGATGCAATTGTATTCATGGCGTTACAGTTTGCTAACTGTTATTTACATCTGGTAGATTCAAATCGAAAGCGCGGTTTGAAGAACGTGAGAATACAGCCAGAAAGAAGGCGGCCGCATGGTTTGCTTGATGGTACTTACCTGAATAAGAGGCGTCCATCTCCAGTACTTTGTCAAAGTCAATGCCCATACCGAACTTTTGTTCGCAAATCTCTTCGATGACTGCCAGGACCGTGTCTAGCATGCGATTGGGGTCTCTCCCCTGGTTGAACTGCGTGTAAAACTCTAGATCCAGAAAGAGATGTGCCAACGTCCCTGCATATGGCGAATCAGGGGCTTTGTTTTCATTATGTGGCACTGATATTAGGTGGACTCCCTTAAGCAGTTGACTGTACGGAATCTCTGTAGCTTAATTCATTTTGAAGACTTGCCAGAGTGTGGAGCAGCGAGACTGTTGACCTACCGTTTTGAAAATCTCAAACATCATTCTTTGGCAGTCCGGAAGCGCCCCGTAACTGCACATCACCAAAACCGTTGATCCGGACAGTCTCGAGAAGCCAGACTCCTGTTTTCATATATCCAAAAGGCAGGCTAATCATGCGTGGTTGTGTGCGTTTTTTGAGAGCATCGCTATGATTGCAGGGCTTAGGTTTCAAACTGGAGAAGGTGCAGTTCTACGGATGTCGAAGGCTTACCTGAGTCGGAAAGGGAGAAATGTGGCAGCAAAGTATCTGTAGCATCCCCGTTCTGGTTCAGGAGACGCAAAGAGAAGGAGCGGGTCCCTGTAAATGTAGTGATCCGCGAACGTGTACAGGTCGCTTATAGAACTGAAAGTCCTGTACACGTTCGTCTGACTAGCTTAAACGAAGCCCGGGCAGTCGAAGATGAAGCGATCGCGTAACCTTTGCATCTTCTCTCTGATGCATTCATTCGTCTCATCCGCAATCTCCTTCTCTGGTCGTCTTCTGTTATGAGCCATCCTGCGCAGTCGATTGCTCTGCTGGGCCTTCTTGTCTTTCCATTCCGGTCTCAAGGCGTTGGGAAAAGCGGCATACTGTGAGTAAGAAACTGATGCAGAACGCGAATAGCTTTCTTGCTCGAAGCCGTTTGAATGTATACGGCAGCCCTAGTACTAGATACACTTAGCCTACGGCGCTAGACCCCTTGTCTGCTGCAACCAAGCTGATTTTGAAGACTAAGCGCTGGTCGCCTAAGCTTAGTGTCGTCAACTCAGGCGCGTGCGCAAGCACAAGCGCGGTCGCGTCTGGATGGTCGATCGTAGAGCTTGTTTGGCGGAGTGGTCGCTGCGCGCCCGCGGCCGCGCGCGCGGGCCCTGCAGAGAGCGGGTTTGCGGTCTTAGAGGTTTGGGAAATGCGTGGTCGTAGAGCGTCCTTTTGGGAAGGACGAAAATTGACCACAGAATTCAAATTTGAAAGATGTTTGAATGTGGCGGTACTGCATTCAGTAGCTTTGAGTGTGCTTCCGTTCTTGCAGTCCCACGGCAGCCTGGATTGAGCTTGACAGGGACAGAATGTGCTGAAGTTGATCCGCTTCCGAATTCAATACAATTGAGTTGATCCAGTTTAATTTCCGAAGGACAGTTTTCTGAGGTCCTTTGTGGTGGAGACCTTTGAGGTCTTTCTAGGTCGAAGCTGCCTGATAATAGATCAAAGTCCTTTGCACGCCAGCTCAACTATCGAAGCTTCACGGTCTCAAACCAGAAAAAAGGGGGCTCGTCCTCTGGCCGCTCCCCAGCTCAACACGGATGCGTGCAATCTGTCTTTTCGTCAACGAGGATAACGCCAAGTCTGCGTTTCCACCTGTGGTGCTGGAGATGCTCGCGCGGATGGGACAGAGAATTGGAGTTTCGTCCTGGATGCTACTGATTCCTGTGATTTCTGCGGCATCCTACTTCCTTGGTCCAGGTTCTCGTGTCAAAGTTGAAGGATTGGACTGGCTGCAGAAGTTGATCCATTGGGGCTTCGTCGTTGGTGACAGTGGCCATGGAAAATCCCAGGCGCACAATAAGCTGAGCGACATCATTGACTCGGTGGAAGGCGACATCAATGAAGCCAAGAAAGATGCGGTTCTGAATGGAAAGAATCCCCAACTGTACCCCGAAGGTTCCCCCGACCTAGAAGAGCTGCTCGATAAAGTTCAATTCGCGAAGATCAAGCTCGACGGTGCCGTGAGTCCATCGTTGGATCCGTTCCCATTTATTTCACTGTCTGAGCAATTTTTCCGTTAGCCTGGAATTGCTTATTAGGATGGTATGCCTGGCTTCATTGTAAGACAATTTGCATCGTTGCATTTGTCGCTGCTAAGCAGAGGCTCATCCTTCTGCACATGCATAGTAATAAGTCTTGCATGCATAGCATGTGTAAGTTTACTTGTTTTAGATTCTGCCATTCTATGCATTCGTGTATGCTGTTCGCTGCTTTTGGTTCAAGTTTGGACCGATCGGCTGTGTCTTCTGAATTGATCAGCATATGATTGCATCTGACTCGAGTGCAAGCCGCGCAGTGCCAGCTTTTGGCTAATTCATTTTGCAAGCGGCTGCATGGCCGAGCATGATCATACGCGACATTCAACCTGGGATCTTTATTCAGATTGGTGACTGTGGATGGGGGCTCTGCAGAGATCAGGCAATTGAAGTAACCTTCTTAGATTGACATGATCCATTCGGATGCACAAGATATAGTATACATGTAGAGAGCCACCGACTTTTCATACCACTATGTCTGACTGTCTGTATCCTATTATTTCCACAGGTCAACTTCGAGCGTCTATTTCAATTGCTCCACTTCCAGCCAGACCACAGCGGAATGCTTTTCCTGGAGGAGGCTCACGTGTTCTTCGAGATGATGGACACTATAAGAAGGGCAACTCAGATCGTGTCAGAGCTTTGCAACTCAAGGGTGGAGCCAAGTGGTCTCGAGAACTGGTCAACGACAATCACTCCAAGACGTGCGACTACACGCACCTCAACATCCTTGGTTATACTCAGCCAGAGCCCTTGAAGAGAGAGCTAGAGAAGATCCCGAACGATGGCCTAATGAATCGTTGGCAGACTGTGTTTCCTCCACCCATCTTCCTGGACTTCGGTAAGTGTAGAGACAACGAGCAGCACTAAAACTATTGATGATGTTCGCTTCTGTGTTACGAGGTGTCTTACCATGGACTGCTGACGTGGCACTTCCGCCATCCTCCTCAACTGTCGGCTTGATCACTGGCTTCGGCTCCTCGAGAGTCATTCCGCGTTGGTTGAAACGTTCGTCAGCAAGAGTACTCAGCCTAGAACGTCTGGTTCTTCGCAGAGGAATTGGACATGGACGACAATGAGCAGGAAATGGTGGAGGAGGACAACAACCTTCTAAAGAAGGTGAGTTTACCAGTGTAACTGGTGATAGAGCACCGATTTGCTTATCTGAATGTCGCCGAATAAATATGAATGGCTGCTTACTCCCCGAAATCTGTAGCTAGAAGTGGTCTTGAGCTTTATTAGACTGATCACAATCGTTTGCTTTGCAGCTCTTTTTCCGTCTGTGGAGGGTTTTCTTCTTACCAGGATGAGTTGCTTCCATGCTGTTGCGAAAGGCGGGGGCTTTCTGCGGCAAAGGAATGCTTTTAGAAGACACGCACACTTTCCGCCTTTTTTTCTCCTTACTCCGCCGCATCTCGTCAGAAGTTGAAGAATATTTTTTAAAATCGTGCATGTTCGAATTCAAGAGTCGAGTGGAAACTAGCTAGACCGTGAGGTTGTTCATCTCAAGACCAGAACTGCAATTTCGCAAAGCTTTCTCGCACTTATTCAGACATCTCCACCATTGTTCCCTTGTACTCTGGCTGTGTTCAAATGGTTCTGACTCTTCCTTGGCCCTCCGATCAGAACGTCTGAGTTCATCTGAAAGCGTCTGATTGTGTTCTCATCTCTGTATCACCTGCGTTTTTGAGTTTTCTCAACCTTACCTTGCGCGGACAGGCTTCTGACTTCTAGCTGAGCACGTTTGTCTTGGGATTGCTATCTCAGCTCAATATACAATCCTGAACAAGCAGGCCATTCGGCCACACCCGTTTCCTTTTGAAACTACAGGCGGGCGGCCACATCGCACCTACTATCCCGCCCTCGGTAGAATCCACTGCGCCTTTCATTCGGAAAGGCACTGACGGACCCCTTTCTCAGGATGTGGGGCGTGGGCATAGCTCAGAAGTGGTCGAAGAGAAGGTTGGAGTCGCAACAGACACACCAACTGCAACGGCTGGAGTCGTCCCCCCTTCGCCCAATGCGGTGGACGATGCACTCAAGGCCCAGACCAAGCCCTCTGACGTGAACGGCCCGCAGTCGGATGGACTGCGGAAGGGAAACGTAGAACCGAAGAGGGCGCGCAGGGAGGATGTGCAAATTGAAGATCTCCGGAGTGAAGAAGCGGAGCTCGACGAACGGCAGAAGGGAGGAGTGGCTGAGGGGCCACGTGGCAGCAACAGGAAGCAGTGCGCGTCGTGCGGGGTGACTCAGTTGAGGCGGTGGTATGGCGCCTCAGCTGGCGTGCGCAAGTGTAGCGAGTGCTACGGCAAAGATGACGGTTCGAAGAAGAGAGCGCTCATAGGGAGCGGCGGGGAGAAGAAGACTGTGCCTGGCGATGAGGAAGGCGGGTCCGGAGTGCTCACGAAGAGTCGCAAGCAGCAACGGAAAGACGGTCTCACCGCTGTGGAGGGGAAGACAGCGGGCGCTGCTCTCGGGGGCGCGGAAGTACAGCCTGGAGGCGTTACGAAGAAGGGAAGGAAGGTCGGAATAACGGACGGGGTGAAAAGAGAGGAGGATGAATGAAAAGATGGAAGGCGCTGCTGAGGAGGAAGAGGTGGTGAGGAGGGGCGGAGCCAAGAGAGGGAGGATGGAAAAGGCACGAGACGGTGCGGGAGCAGAGACGGCCGAAGGGGCTCAAGACGCCACTGACGTGGGTGCAAAGGCGGATGCAGAAGTCAAGGTCCTAAAGGCCGGAAACAAGGTTCGATCAGGGAAGGGCATTGAGCGGGGGGAGAAGCCGGGAACAATGGACGCTGCCGAACCTAGGGAGGGGGAAGAAGTGGCAGGCACGGCTTGTGGGCAAATGAGTTCGAAGAATGGCAGCGATGGAGAGGTGGGGAGTCGGCCCGTGCCAGGGACTGAGCCCGGGGATCCTCCTGCAGTGCGGGGCCTGCAAAACTTCGTTGGCGAAGTATTGAAAGTCGCGGAGGGCCAAGCTAGGAAACAACGTGTGGCAAAGGCGGGCCGGGGCGGAGGGCGAGAAGGCGCAAAAAATGGGGCAGGCGATGCAGGGATGGAAAAAGATGGGCTCCTGGCCGACGCTGACAAGGGGGGCGCGGTGAAAGGGATCGCAGGGGGTCCTCGCAAGGAGAGCTGCCGCAAAGGCTTGGTAACCGAACCTGGTCGCATTTCCCTCATCAGTTAAAAGTTTGTATTAGTGTTTCGAACCCCAATTTCATAAAACATGTATCTTGGAAATTGCTTCCCTTTGCTGGTCTTTGAGGGGGGGGTCAGAACTGAAGGGAGCGCGTCCTATCTCGTGGCGGCTTGCTTCTCATACCCAGCTTTTCATTGGTCACACGTGCCCCGCCATTTTTAATCAGGCTGAAACGTGAAGGAAGTTAGCAGTAGCGTCTTTTACATCTCTCCGTAGGCTTTGTGAAATCTTTCATCACAGTTTGAAAAGTTGGAAACCTGGCCGTTACAGTTCTTGCACTTGTGCGCTGAGTACCCTTTTGTAAGTTCTTTTGGTTTTGCACGCAACAGAAAGGGTTTTTGTTTTACGAGCAGGAATGCTCGTTGCCATCGACCAGACCCGTTTGATTCACCAGGCAGGCATCTCTTCTGTTCTGCAAAGAATCTCTTTGTGCGCCTGGGATCTGCAACCGTCAAGATGTGGGCATTACAGCCTTCCTGCTCAACAAACTGCTTCGTCCTGCCTAGCACACTAAAAAGACGGGAGATTCTCTTTGGAGACTTGAATTTCACCCAGTCCAAGCATTGCGGCTCCGATAGAACTATAGCGATTCAATTATGACTGGTTGCAACTTACAGTTCTATTACTCTACATTGTAACATTTTCAAGGTAGTCTACTCTTAAAGTAGCGTTTTAAGCAGTTATACTTTCATACGGTGATTTAGATGTGCCCTCGAATGGTATCTCCGCATCTTCGTTTCACCCTGTCAGGCATTCCTTTCATCTATGTCGAGGAAGGTTAGCCGGTCCTACTCTTTATTCGCTCAATCTCCGAGGGAACCAGATTTGCATACGGCAATCCAATGAGGGATTCGTCGGTACTGATTGGGCAAAAGCGCTCGTAAAGTCCTTTCCGTTTCAGTGAATGCACAATGAACCACTGCTGACGGCTTTCTTTCCGTTTCTTCTGCAGGAGTCAGTGCCTCGTTCGCCTGCCCTTTCTCCGCCAATAAAAGCTACCGACCGACCTTCCACTGCGGGCACGAGGTCAACCCCACGCGCTGAAGCAGCAGCGCCCGAAGAAGACCCCCGATCGGCTCAACCCGGCAGCAAAGCGTTGGCAGAGAATCAGCCCGGGGATCCCAACCCGTTGGCGTGTGAGAAGAAGCGGAGCGGCACGGAGAAGCCTTCTGGACAGCCTAGCGCGGAAGAAGCAGGCGGAGCCATCAGAGAGGGTGACGGAAACCTGGTCGCCCGGAAGAAGGCACTGAGACTGGCGGCCAAGTCAACAGAGGTAGCAGGGAAGGGCGACCCGGCAGGTGGTGTCTCGGTGAAAGCAGCGGAAGTGGAGAGTGCTCGTACTGAGGAAGAGAGCGCCAGCGCGGCACTGAGGGGCGGCGCCGTCAAGGCAGTGGGGAAGGGCGCTGACGTGGACGCCGGCAGGGGTTCTGATGTCAACGCGGGATTGGATGCCGACGTCGTGGAGGGGGGGAGAGCTGACGTGTCGAATGAAGGAGATGATGACGTGGAATCGGACCGGAGCGCTGACGCCCCAACGAAGAAAGATCTCCTGGCTGCAATCGAGCTGGAACTGCGGGAGAGGGAGCGTGTGATCGAGGCGAGCGCCTCACTCGGGGGATCCCCCGCCGAGAAGCTGCCGAAGCACAGCTTGATGCCCCAGCCAGCGGTCCCGCACCTGGAAAATGGAAATGCTAGCCTCATTTCTGGGGGCCCGGATGTCGTTCCTGGGGCTGCTGACGTCACTGGTCGTTCTGGCGCTGACCATTCGGAGGAGCGGGTCCCTGCCGCGGATGGAAAGGGGATGAATTCACCAACCGCACAGCCGGACCTGAGGTCAAAGGAGCGGACTGATGTGGTGCAGAGGGTAAAAGGTCTGGAGAGCGGGGATGCTGACGTCACAACGGGGGGACGTGCTGACGGCACAAAGGGGGGAAATGCGCCGGAGAAGAAGGGCAATAACGGAGGGGAGCAAGAGGACGACGGTGGAGGGAGCGGCGCGCAAGGACACGACTCCCGGGAAAGCAGCGGAGAAGAAGCACCGAGACCGGCCATTCGGAGCGACCAGGCTGGGCCTTCGCAGCAGGCAACAGGAAACGAAGTGCAGACCGTGGTCGCCGATGCAAAGGGAAAGGCACCGGCGGTCGCTACGTGTCAGGCAGACGCGCGCCCTGCAACCGGCTCGCCCGCAGAGCAGCTGCCGTCGGCCGCAAGCTACGGCTCCCTCTGGAAGGCTTATGCGGACAAGCTTTCAGAGCCGGAGAGCAGAGGACCGTCCGAAGAGCGCGGCGGCGGTGCGTCCTCTGCCTTTGTCGGGGTCCTGCAGGAGCGCCGGGCAGCGATCCCGGAGCCCTGGGCTGAGATCGTCGGCGCTCTGAGGGGGCTGATCCGCGTAACCGAGGAGAGTGGCCGGGTGGTTGCTGCGCGGTTGGACACGCTTCTCCAGCGCTCGAGCCGGCGCACGGTGGTGGAACGAGGCAGGGGGCCCAAACAAACGGGGCCGCTGCTTTTGAGGCCGGAGCGTCGAGCACTGGGCCTTCGCTCGGGGAAGCAACGCCTCCCGAGAGTCCCGGTCAGGAGCCGGAGGCTGCCGCCCGGGGTGGTGACGTCAGCAAAGGCCGTTCAGATGCGTCGGATGGGGGCAATGCAGCGCCCGGAAAGTCCTGAGGATGGTGGCTGGGGGTCAACTGGACAAGGCGAGTGCAGATTTTGGATCGTTGTGACCGTTTGGATCTTCGTTCTACCTCTTAAGCTCGGTCGTTGCATGCGAGCTTCGACCGGACTGTTGGGCTTTGTGCTTTTCGTCTCTGAGAAAGGCAGGCATGTTCTCAAATGTGCTCGGCTGTGTGCACTGTGCGGCTGCAGAATCAAGGATCGTGGTCCCAACAGGTGGCGCCCTTCGATGGCTGGTCGCTGTCCGCATACCGTCTCTGTCTCTTTCCTCTTTATGCCGTCCACCTTTCATAACAGAGATGCACAAAAGATGTATTGATTAAAAGCATGAGACGTCGCCAGATATCACCCGAGCAAGCGACAGAGAGATTGCTTGGCTAGTACTGTCACCTTCCGGTAAGTCCACACTGCAACGGCTGATTGCAAAGGTCGTGTCCGTAAATACTCTTCTCCTGTGGTTATCGCTTTTCAGAGGATTGAGCTTGAATCACTTGACCGTCCTTTGGTAAGGCCCTATCTCCGGTGCCTGGGGCTCGTCGAACCCTGATAAGAACGCTTTTCTTGCAGGAACACAGAACGAGCTGCGCTGAGCGACATGACCTTTGGTTGCAAGGAGCTTGAAAGTCTATCAATCAAGAACTCTATCAGTCAAGAAGGCAAGTGGCAAAGGATCCTCCTGGTCCAGTATACGGCACGGGCGGCTACTACTTCCAGAGGGCGTAAAGTCGGTGGGTTCGCTTTTGACACGTGACTGTAGATACGGGCTGCAAGGAGGTTTTGACACGGACGTAAGTGCTTTATGCCCACTTTAGCCGAAGAGGGTACTTTTGAGACAGTCAAGAGCATGTAGATGTAGCTTGTTCGTACAGTAGTTCAAAGAACCCGTCTATCAAGACTTGCAAAGTTTACTCTGTCCATTGCAGGTGACGTGCTGCTCTATCTCATTAGAGAGGTCGCTTTGCAAACTCCCTTGACACGTACGTGACTCTGGGAGTTCTGGCGATAATAAACAGCAATCAACCAAATCTACCCGAAAAGTCTTTGGAATGGAGTCTGTTACTAGATCTTTCAGAAACATACTAAGAAACCTTGTGACCCAATTACGAATCTGTGTAATTACGTTTGGTCGACCATTGAGCTGTCAGGCGAACAGAGTCTGTGCACGGTAGGTCTCCAGAGTTTGAGGGCCGGGGTGCAACGTCTGAAGCTAGTGGCCCCCCTTTGTAAACTGGCACCGCACGGCATGCCTTTAGTTGCAAACGTGCTAGCTGTTCGCATGCACGTTCGCACCTTTCGCATGCAACTGGCGACATGGTACAGTGACGCCGGCGGTCCGTGGGGAATAGTGTGCAACAGACGATCGGACTCCGTGCATCATTGTGCAACCACGCTCCGAGCAAACTCGACCGGACGCCTTGGTACCATACTCTGTAGACGTCCAAAGGTTAGTAGTGTCCTGGGCCAAACTTGCAGGCTTGGACGAATTACAATGAATCAGCTGAACCTCAGTGATCTAACTTAGAGATATCTGCTTCGGCTGAAATGAGTTGTGAGTGACACTAATGCACCGGAACTTATCTCATAAGTGACTGCTGGCCGGGCCGGGCCGAACGCAGCCGCGCAGGCATGCATGTGCTACATGGATGTGACAAAAGGCGGACGATTGTATGTTTCATGAAGCTAGCAGGACGGTACGTCGCAAACAATCCGACTGATCGACGTAGTTGTGGTGTACATTTGGTGCGCGCGCTCTAAACGGCGCCATGCAGGCACATGCACCGGTGCCTAAGCTAGTATACGCGCGTACGGTATACTAGCTTACATGCACACCTTTACTCTCTTTGAATATGTAGTGTCGAAGTTTGACTGAGCCTGGTTTTCAAGCGATGCGGCTTGATTTGGATCCGTGCCCGGCGGGCCGGCCATGCAGGCCAGCGCATGAGATTATTTACGCAGAAGACCATTGCGCATATGCCTGATCCTAATTCAGTGACGGGTGCTAGCTAGGATACTAAACATGGGCTAACATTGCGATGTCATGACTCAGAGGCCGGGCCCCGGCCTCTCAAAATTTTCGAGCCCCGGGCCCGAAAATTCTCAGATTTGTAGAGAGTAAATTAGCAGTTAAGTACACAACATGCATGCACGGCTTTGCAACATGACGAAACCAATAGTACTATTCGCACTCTCGGTGATTCTTAAACGGACGCGCTGCCAGCAATAACTTGGGGTGTATGCGCCACCGTTTTCTACGGACCATAATCAAGGTTCAATGATTTCGATGAGCAGATTGTTTTGGATCCCCCTAGCTGCCAGCATTAAAAGCAGGTATATTTTGTAATCTGCTACCATCTTCGTTCCAACGGACGAACGACGTACCGATCAATGACCGCATATGTAAGGAGCTAAACTCTTCTGCGAGTTGGGTGCCCCGGCCATGTCACGAGTCGCGAGCTCCGGCCCTGGAGACTCGTGGCAGGTTACGCGAGGTGGGGGTCGAAACCCTTGGCATGCTGCCCATGATGTTTACGTGCGTTCATCTCTTGCAACTCTTCAATGGAGCCGACTAGGATTGAAGCATGTCTAGTAACGTTTCTCGCCGGACAGTCCAAGCGAACGTGTCCCCGAAAACCAATACTCATCATATTTGAATTGGATCAATCTTGTTCCGTACTCTCGACTGAAATACACCCTTCAGGTCTCCTTATCGATCTCTCGGGCTCGGGCTCGAGCTCTGGCAGACGTCCGATTGATTCTGCTGAAGCTTCACAGTCGCAGATTCCAAGTGGACTAGCCCCTTAAGCAACTTTCCTATGGCCCTCTGTGTTGGATCAGCCCTACCTCTTGGCCCTTGCAAAAAGTCCATTAGCAAGCAGCCCTTAAAAAGCGCACACCTGTGCTGGTTTCGCGCGAGATGGAGTACGTCGGCGATTTTCCGCACCTGATGAGATTTTTCTATCCCTAATGTTGATCCTTGCTTTACTCCGTTCACATAGAGCCGAATTCAAAAACCAATTCTTTGTCCTTCGCGCCGCAACCTAGTACGGCCCGTCGATGGTCCCGGTGCCCAGCGCCCCGACCCGAGCGGCCCGGGCCCGCAGAACGGCGCGCCCCCACACGCTGCACTGCAAGTATACTGATCGGAGCGCGTCGCCGCCTCATTCGAAAGCCATGCACTGATGTTGGGACCCGCCGGGGTGTTCACATACACCTGGTCCAGATGCAACGTCTCGCGCCTGCAGGACTGGGCATCGGGGCGGCATTGACGGCGAAAATCCGGATATAAAGTCTTTTGCCGCTTAGCTTTCGATGATACTCAGACCCCCTTTAAATCGAAGGTATGGGACTGCCAGTGGCTGCAAGAAGACGTGTTGGGTGCTTCACCAGTGAAACTATGATCAAACCTAGTTTTCAGCAAGTGCTTCTGTCACTTTTGAGGGGCCTCAAGAAACCGGGATGCGTTCTAAGGCATAAAGGAAAAGAAGTTGAGTAAAGGAGAGCTTTGGAAGAAATGACAGAATCATTGAATCAGACAAAGCTCGAACTCTGAGGACTCTAGATAATGGTTCACCCGACTCTGTTTTGATGCATGTATTTGACCGCACCTGCATAGGAGAGGGATGATCGTGGGCCAGTGATCGTCCCCCATGATGAGGTACTGCGGCCGCGGCGAGGCGGGGTCGATCGCAATTCCGTAGACGGCTTCTCCCACGTCTCGGGGGTTCAGGCCCTGACTTTTGTAGTACTCAATCACTTGCCCCCCCCCACCGCGTCGGCTAGCTGACGACAGCCTGCGTAAAATCCCCTTGTTAGTATCTTTCTGTCTTAAGTACCGAACAACATCTCGGTGCTTGACGTGGTTGAAGTACGGAAAAGGATTGGCGCTCGACGTTCGGATTCCTCTCCTGCTTGCTTGCAGTGGTTAATGCACATGATAGACATGTCGAGCACCTTCCAGGGCGCACTTTTGAAGCTGCAAAGACGTGGGCTCTGTGATCGTGACGAAGGTCACGTACGAAACCTTTGAGCGCATGTGCGCTTCACGCATAAACAGTCAGGTAAGTGCGAATACATCCCTAGCTTTCAAAATTCTGAGGAGCTCCAAACGCGGGTCGGCCAATATCCAACTCTCGACTTGAGATTCACAGTTCGACGCGCAGAAGGAACAGCTTGTAATCCTCCCAAATTCTCTAGGTCGCCGGGCCGTTATGAGAGGCGGACTCTCTGCCGACCGTCTGACCGTGAGCGAACCCCAGTAAAAAAGGCTCACAGTATCGAACAGCGGGAAACTTTATAGCGACTTTGGATCTTTAAACAAACCCAAACCCGGAGCTTTCCCACCAAACATAACCTTTCGCGTGTTTGTGGAAGGAGCAATTGCGCGCGCGCGGGCGCTCACCGTAGATGGCGTTGTACCCAAGGCTGGTGTTGACTGTCCCGGGCATGATGGCGATGACGTCGATGTTACTGGGCGTGCTCCCGGGGGCTGCCCCCGTGGACACCCAGGTCTCCTGGAGAGCGCGGAGGCCTCACTTTGAAACCGTGTACGGCAGGTAACCGGGGCTGCCGTACAGGGAAGCTATGGAACTGGTCACGAGAATGCGCGCGTAGCCTGCGAAAGTGGGTCGGAGACGTCAGAGGTGGGGCTCAACTTTGAGATGTACGTGGTGAGGATCTGCTGATTTCTTTGCTCTCCATTAACACGGCTGCGTCACGATGCGATCAATGCTTCCGATTACAGCCGAACTCTGTTTCTCAAATTTAATTAATGCAACTAAGCTTGGCTGAAATAGACATGAGATCCGTATCACGGTGATGCACGACGGCTAATCTCCGACGCAGCTCACAGTCGGCCGTAAGTAGAAGAGGGTGTTCACAAAACTCGTCTGGATGAGGCCTTGCCGAGCAATTGGAGCGACTGCTCTTTGAGATGGTCAGTAACACCGCCATCCCAAAACGCTGTCCTCACCAAACGGACCCCTCGAACGGCCTGTTCGCCATCAACTCTAAAAGATCTGGCTCACCCGTGGTGGGCATCAAACGGAGCGCCGCCTGAAGGACTCTCGATGCCCCCAATGAACAGCCGCCCTGGCACACGGGCAAGTGGAGACGTCTGAAATCAAGCTCGCTTACAAAAACATAGTGGTGTAGTTTTGGTCTGCAGGATCTCGGTCTAGATCCGCATCTAGATTGCATGTATTCTGATTGTAGGCAACCCGTATACGGAGTACAAGCGGCGTAGTAGGTATCTTGTCAAAAATTTCCAATCAAAACGCTGTGCCAACCAACTTGACCAAACCATCGGTCGGATGCAGATACGATCGCGGACACTGGCCGCCCTTTTGGCCTCGGCAGTGGAATGTTCGATGCATGGTTGCATTCATACACATGCATGCAGTCGACCGTTTTACCAACGGTTATGCCGCGATAAGGTCATGCACAACTCGCGGGACTCCGCGTTTTGCGGCCAAGCCCCGCGCTTTTCAGCAATCAAGAAAAGGGACGACTCACGGCGACGGTCACGTCCGACGGTCGCGGTACTGTCGCGTTTCGAGCGGCGGTTGAATGCATGCCATGATGCTTCGCGTTGCAACAGGGCTTCTATATACAACGGAAGCTAGGCCGGGGCTAGGCCGCGCGTTCTGTTTTTGGTTTGGCGGCCTATCATAGGCAATCATGCTGCATGATGAATAGGTAAGCCCAAGACCGATAAGTATAATTGAACCGGGTACTTAGTTATAGTAGGTTCATTTTAAAGCGCTTTCTCTATATAAAGCCTGGCCCGCAAGCCGCTGTTCTCTGCAACTCAACAATGTCATTGAATTCGAACATTGTAGGGAGCAACATATACGTGCTTGCATGCGGGGGTATCAATATCTTCCGACCCAAGTGCTGCATGTAAGATGCCATGATGCTAGCATTCATTATATATAGGTGTTCTATAACATTGGCGGCAAATCGAGCAACTTTTCATCAAGAGATGCGCAATCGTCCTGGTCACCCTTTTGGCTATGCGGGCGGCCTCCATTATCTTGAAGCACCTCTGTATAACGGGCTGCCCAAGCCGACAATAGATTTTGGCGTTGGAGGCTTTTCGCGCTCCGAAGAGTGTCAGTCGGCCGAAACTTAAGTCTCGCTACTAGTAAGGTTCAACCCAGATATTTCGACATTACCAGAATTCCAGGAACGGTTGTGTGAACTTGTCATGGAAAGCGTGCAAGGACGTCCAATGAATATGGCAACAGGCATCGCTTTCATGGGCGGTAAAAATGACACAACATACGGAGATCTTTTCTATGTTGAATTGTCGAGCTCAAAAAGATTGTCTTCTGTCTCCGGCAGGGGCGTACACGAATTCTTATGAACCATCCTATTAGCCTCCTTGAAACAGTCCTCCCAAAATGTCTGTATCGAAGCGATCCATCATCTCACTTGCTGCCACTAGAGTCTCACTGACCCTTTCCAAGACCACATACAACTCGTGTGTATCCGTCCTGCGGAGATATATAGAAAACAACGTTGAGCTTTCTCAAACAGGACAAATGATGTGCCAGACCGACGGTTAATGAGTGCGTCAAGGAGGGATGATGCACCGCATTTCCTAGGACCTGGGCAGCAACCGAGAGTGCTGAGGGTATGCTGCAGAATACAATGAAGCAAAGCGACTAAACCCATCTTTCCTAGAGCTTGTCAGGTACCATGAGCGCGCCAACGCTCGCCTTACATCCAAAGCCCAGTGACCTGAAAGAAAGCAAAATTTCTGAAAAAAAAGGTTCTTCACATTACTTGCTTTTTCACGACGACCCAGGCGTTGTTTTGGGCGCGCAAGTAGACCTCGGTGCTCGATTCCGGGATGCTGGGACTTAATTTCGCCGAGGCTTTCTCCTCATCCTTTTCTCCTCGGATTTGGTTTAAGGCGGCAAGCGACTCCTTCGCTAGAGTCCCAGCCTGGAAGGAAAACGTTGTGTTCTTTGTTAAACACTCGAGCCGACCCGTTCTATCGCTCCAATTTTTGACAAAAAGTATGGATTCTCGATCATGGAAAGTATCAACTTGGAGGAGTTACGGATGCTCGTCACAGGTAGCGCGGTGACCAGTCTCGTCGCATTGATTCTGAAAGCATCCCGATGCATAGGACACGCTCATGCAATCACTCACCCTGCGGGATATTTGATTGATTGACCGGACATCAATCTTGGGGCTTTTTCACGTGTACATGCAACAGAAGCGCGCTTTCTCGCAATCTCCTCAAGAACGAGTACACACACAGCAAGCGCCGCTTGCTAACTTCCAGACCGCACACTAAGAATCATGCAGCCGCTGAAACGCGTGGGGGTCGTTATTTATTACACAAACATGACTAGACCGTTAAGATCATCGCACTGCCTCGACCATTGATCAAGAGCTATACCATTGCCAACATGACTCATCATAAACAGGTATGGGCTCACCTTTCCCGCGGGGGACGCTTGCATCTTCTCAGTAGAGCGGTCCACGTAGAGGTAACGGTAGCCTGGCACATGCGTTCCGTTTGGCCCCCCAAACTGGTTAGCGACGACAGCTTCCAAAGACCTCAACCGAGCAGTGATCTGCAGGCAGGATCATGCGGTCTGACAACCCTTCCCGTCTGATCGAAGCTTGTGAGCAGATACTGGAGCTACCTACTGTCACTTAGAAAAGGCCACTGTCTCTCCACAATCAAAGGTTCAGCTCTCTTGGACGGAAGGCCTTGAGTCCCATATGTGGGCCACTTAAAGGCTCTGGAGGTTAGCACTCTACCATTAAATGGCAGCAAGATGTAAGATATGGATTTGGAACCTCCAGCCTTCGCCTCCCGTTTCAACATTTCAAAGACAGTCTGCCCGTTTGGGAAAAGATTAGGCAGAGACCAACTCAAAGGCGAACTCGTTTCGATGGACACTTGCTCGCCGAGCAGAACCCAGAAAGTACTTACACAGAGTGAGCTCCAGAAGCCTGTCCGGAACGAGGTCCAGTTGGAAAAACGGCACTGACCTTCTCGAGAAGCGGAGGCGGGAGGAGGCTGGTCAGCTGGTTGTCAACAGGGAGTAAGAGGACAAGCATGAGGCCACTTTGCTGCAAGAAGAGAAGGTCGTACTCAGCTACAGTTGGAGACCGCAAGCGTTCCTCATTGCCTACAGCAAAAGTGGATCCTAGGGAGGGCTTCTGCTGAGGGGACATGGAGGGGAAACATCCAGATGACCCGCCCTCTTGAAGGGAGTGGGCACTGCTTGGATTGGAGTAGGCAAAATAAAACCCAACAAAGTTGTGGCTTTGCAGTCTTGCCGTGAACAACTTCTGTCGCCAGGAGCACCTTCTGTACATTCGGAAATCGACATTCGATCAGAGGTGCCTACATGCGACAACGACGCGTGCAGCAGGTGCGAGCTCCGAGTCACCAAAACGCTTGTCTCAGCCAGGGTCACGCTTGAACAATGACATGCGTGGTCGGGCCCTTTCGTTGGCAAAGGGCATCCTCCACGACAACGATGGACCACCCTAAAATCTGAGGGTCTGCTTTAATCGACTGCTATACCTCTGATTTTGTGAGTCGCACTTCCAGGCATCCACCAAGTGGTTGAGCGATGCAATATGGTTCTTCAAGCAGATTGTTTTCAGAACCTTTGACGGAAGCAGACCCTTACCTGGTATATGTGTAGCCACGCTCGCTTGCGACCCCCTTCCAAATACACGGACGGTTGCACGCCCCCTCGCCAAGCGTCCGTAACCATCCAGCCGTCCGCCTGTCGCCACCAGGAAGCACCACGCAGGGGCCGGACTTGTCCTGACGTGGACGGCTCGCATTGGGCCGTCAGGCCCTCCCGGCTTGGAATGCTCTCCGCATCGGAGACGGGTTCTCCGCCTGCACGCCGAGGACATGAGCACTACTCCACGTGAAGAGACAACGACTACAGCTTACTGTTGGATTGAGACAATGAGAGTTGCTATTACGAACCAGAATGACAGAACGGTCCGATTGTTGAGGTGACATTTGAGAGCATGTCCCTCCCCCATTCGACCAGGTTGATCCAACTAGCGGTTGGATCGTAGAGCTTAATATTCAACTGCAAGAAGACAGCACATTCAAGGTCAAGTTCAAAAGCCAAGAAGAAGGAGCCGATCCACAAGTAAGAAACTTCGCCGTTGCAAAGTGGTTCTCGAATGCATATCGACTCAGCAAGCCTGACGTGTCGAAGAAGTTAGAAGCAAAGGGCACCCAATGAATGAAAGCAGGGGAACTACTGGACGCCGTATTCCAGAAGGAGTAAAAGCGGAACGTGGCAACAAAAACCCTTGGTTTCAGAATCCGTGCTCCAATGGGGTAGTACGTCAGCTGCACATAATGCGTAAGACTACGGATATACATGACTCCTTGACTGACCTCGAAATACGTGCAAATAGAATCCAAATCCGTGCTCCAATGGGGCAGTACGTCAGCGACACATAACGCCCAAGACAGCGGATTAAATTGACTCCTTGACTGACCTCGAAGTAGTTGCAAATGATTGTCAGAATTTGAACCCACAAACCACGGTCAATGCTCCTTCCAGTACAAATCACGTTCGATCGTACGTCATATCTCTGCCGATTTCCTCACTTGGTCCTGGCGACGCGGGCCTGCTGCTGTCGGGGGTGCCCTGGAGCGAGTTCTGGCTTGCACTACGGTGCGCTGCTGCGGCACTGCCCCCGCCCGTCATGTTGGAAAACAGTGAGCGCACGCCGGCTTTGAAGCCTGTGGACGCGCTTGACACAGGGGGCATGGCGGAGGGGAGGGACGACCGCCGGGAGGAAGTCGCTATGTAGTTGCGTATGTACCACTGGAGAGTTGCAGCATCGCTCTAGAGACAAGAGAAGCGACAGATTTACTATACGGACAAAAGAAGCAGCAGTACTTTCGGTGAGCGCAAGCAATTCGCAAAGTCAGGCTGAGAGAGACCTCAGAAGACGAGTGGGTGAACAGAAGAGTCAAAAGTGCACGGTGGGGATTTCCAACTGCACTGCGGCACTGTCTGTCAAGATGTACCATGCGCGAATACACGGAGCCCGCCGCAACGAGTGAGCCGATTACATTTCTGTCTCTGGAGAACCAAAAGCTTGCAAAGCTATCTTACATACCAATTGTAGGAAGGTCCGTTTTTGGGGCTCGACCAGAAGGCTTTATCCTTTCAAGCAAAAAGAGTCTCAGTGACTCGTCATGCAGAACTGCTCAGATTGCTCAACGAAAACATTCGTTCGTGATCATCAAGTGAGAAAAAACTGTGGCGATACGGCTCAAACCCTACTAACAAAGATCACGCCAGAGATCTTGAGTTTCAAGCAACTGAGGGTGGTACGTGCAACAATGGGCCTATCGGTTGTAGCCGGTACAACTGGACCTTCTGTCAGACAGGTGTCATGGAGGATAAAATGGACGAGCAGCAACATGCTATCCTGCCTAATATGGTTGGCAAACTTCACAAGTGGCCACTGACTGTCTACCTCCATCAACAAGCTGCTAACGTATTTTGGTCAACAGTTTTGTTCTCAGGGCTGCCCGAGAGCGAAACCTTGCGTTGACTCACAGCTTGAAGGGTAGACGCGACGCAGAGTCCGCTGTACAGTAGCATGCTATTCAATGACGGCCCCCCTTGGTACTGTGCGGTCTGGACCAGCCCAAAAAGCGACTGGACGCTCAGGCTGGTGTGTCTATCCACTGGGAGATGCGCGAGGCAACCCCGCTCAGAAAGGCCGGTGCCGAGGCTCGGGAGATGCTGCCCCCGCTTGCCACCTGCAGCCCAGAAGCGGATGTTACGGTCACATGGGAACGTCGTATGCACACGTGTCAGTTCACCTTGCGCTTTGGAGGTGCACCCGTGATGTTGGCGGCAGGTTTGGTATGCGAGTTTATTATCTCACACTTACTCTGTTTGACTGGCTCTGAAGGGAATTGACACGAGCACGTGCAGATTCTGTGAGAAGCAGCGTCTTCCTAGATTGCCCCTTATGGGAAAATATTCCAAGCGAGGAACCATGGACCCCCAAGATAAGATTCATTCAGAAGGCGCATTCGAATGACAGGGCGCACAGTATTATCTGATGCTGTTGCGAACTGCACCGGTGCTCACCCAGCAGATTGTGCAGGTGGTCTGACAGTGTCCGGTCCAGCAGCTGGCGAAGTGCAGCGCCAGAGGGATCCCTCGCGAGCAGGTTCTCAAAGTCGCCATTAAAAAATACAAATATTCTGCAAGAAGAGCGGATAGTTCTGGACCTGCAAAGCGTTTTCAACCGTGGCTGCCAAACCTGCTTTCAGTATGTAACAATCACAGAGACGAAGCGGTCGATTCACCAGATTGCAAGCACCTGTCTTGTGAATCAAGAGTCCGAGAAGGGCCTGGCAGCCAGGCTCTGCAGACCTCACAGGTGGTACGACGCCAAGCAACTTTCCAGTCAGGTGCCTTGATGATACCAAGGTGAAGTCACACAACATGATGGTTAGCTTTCTCTTGACTGACAAAGACGGTTTGGCAGTCATACAGAAGACTCACTTACGAGTCTTCATCTGCCAAACTTGACCGCAAGGGAAAGGTACTCAGCCTGTGAAAGGAAAAGGTACTTGTAACGGTCTTGCGGAACAAAAGTGTGTCAAAATGTTAGTGTGTAATGTGCACCTGTAAGCTTCTTGGAGGACAGCCCTCAGAGCATCATCCCGAAGTGTGGGGTCCACACCCCCAGGGCTCCCTCGCTTGACCACCTAGCAACAAGGGGGCACAGCAGTTGCAGCATTTCTGATTGCTCAGCTTTTCAGCTTACATCACCAACGGCCTCCCTGATAAGCATTTTGCCGTCAGTAAAGTTGTCAGCAGATCATCAACATTCATAGCAGTGCATCAAAGTTTCTGAGGGGTTCGATGCAATCGTCAGACAGCAATGAGTCCTGCGCATTTTGCCACTCCTTGCTCACCGGATGGTTCGCTTTGTAACATGCCCGTACGACCATGCGTGAGTAGCATTCAGCAAGCTAGCATGCTAAGTCTCCATTACAGCCGCAGCCAAAGGACACTACACGTCGCTACTGGGCAGTTCGGAGCAAAATCTCTCCTGAATCCCCTCTCAAAGGAAGCTGCTGTGCTCACCAGGACCATCCACACGCTGGGTTCACATTCAAAGAAGATGTGCCTGTGCTTTTCAGTGTACAGGGCTTCGCACGGTTGGTCCGGAGAAAACAGTCTGCAACGAAGGGCCGATGTGTGTGTTACATCCCAGTGGAACTGAGCTGGAGGCAGGATAAGCTTTGCCAGCCTGCAATATCCGTGCTTCTGACTTCTTTGGCTATAAGAAGAACAGCCTCGAGGTCATTGAATGAATTGCAGAACAAGTGCATAGACCGCGACTGTCTCGGATTGAGAGCGGCATACTTCCTTGGAGTTGTATCCTGTGGAACAGCATGCACCTTTGCGGTGCTATCGAGCATCAAAAGATCTTGAGTACCGTACCTTACAGTGTGCAGGCAAAGGTGAGAAGAACCACCTAAGACTGAATCTGTCAGTAAGTGCATGAGTGCTCACTTGGTGAATGTTAACAAGCCCTCGCTCAGCCCCACCATCAGCTTTTGCTGGTCAAGAGAGACCTCCCGTGGATAGAAAAACAATATTTTCTCCGCCTCTTGCCCCTGCATCCAAGGAAAGTATCATGAGATAAGCTTCCGACCATGTATTTCCAAAGAGGCAAGGAACAGAGACTTCAGGGCTCAAGTTCTGCAACTGACAATCTGCAGGGCATCCGTCTGCTGGCATAGTTGATACATTGACTGCTTTCTCTAGTTGGTTGCAAAAAGGATGCATGATATGACGACGACAGTTGTACTGTACATCTTACCCAATAGCTAAGAGCAAAGGGTCTACATGGCATTAAGACGCTGATGGTGGTGCGCTTGGCATTCTAAGATATTCGGCGCTATGACAGACAAAACGACCTCAGCGACTTCAGAATTTGATCCAGCTCATGCAGCAATGCGAGAAGAACAGAAACGTTGAAGTCAAACTCTTCAAAAATTGGGCTAGTCCTTTGGCGCCATTTTGCTCTTATCCCTTTCTTTTAGCCGCATCGCAAGGGCCAGAAGGCAGGGATTGAAAAAAGAGGAGTCATTGTACCTCTTGGCGGCCCCTCCTCAAATCAAAGACATACATGCGCAGGGCTTCCCCCCACACACTCTCGTTCTTGGCAGAGAACATCGTTGATGATCTTACATCCTTGTATTTCAACGAGGCAATCTTGAAGCAGACGCATCTTTCACGGCCAATGCGCCTCACTCAATGCTTTGAAAATGACATGAAGCACAATATTCCGTGCAGCTTTTCACCAAGTTCCCCGCCAGAATTCTCATCAAAGAGCTGCTTAGTACAAAAGTTAAACAGGTCCGCTCAGGAGCGCCCCGATCCAATGCAGCGTCTCTGTACTATGTATAGTCCAACTCGGCCTCGAGCTTCTGCCAGCTTCTGCCTCAGGCTGCCTGAGCAGCCTGAGGCTGCCCAGCTGGCTCGCGCGCTGCAGCACAGGCCGGGTGGATCGCCGAATTGGGCTTAATTTCTGATACCGCATTTTGGGGCTCCGGAAACGCGGATTTCAAACCATCGACGGTCGTCGACAGTTAGATAAATTTTTTTGTGACGTCATGGTAACGGAGGCTGAGGGGAAAGGTTTCACAGGTTTGACGCATGAACTTTTCAGCAGTCGGGGAGAGGCTTGAGAGTCGAGTCGGAGGGGTGTTCGTCTTCAAACAGTTCTCAATCCGGCGTCAGAACTCTGGTGGTATTAAGACGGTATTCAAAGTGCCATCAACATTGTTGGGATGCTTGGAATGGAATCGTCGAATAAGTGGAACCTAAGACATCACCGATCAACCGATGTTTCATGTCCGTCGTTTGAGGTGGTTCGAACCATCAACAGCATCAAGGACTTTCCCTCCTGCAAGTGTTCTGAGTCAAGCCACTAAAAGTCCCATCAAACCAAAACAAATGAGATGGAAAGTCGGGGACATGAGCATTTACGCTCAGATTCGCCGGGGGTTCAGATTGGCCGGTTCGATATGATTTGTACCCGTGCGCCTGCCACTAGTATGCTAGCTTCAAGTAAACTGCTCGTAAACTGTTACTACCTTGTTACTACAGCCTAGTGTCACGCATGTGTATCTCGGTGCTATTTTCATTTGTTCACACCCCGACCGCCCACATGTCGATCCCTTCGCCATCATGTGAATGGTTCCAGTACTATGCATAACCTGCATGTCACAGAGCACAGTGCCATGCACACAGGAAACTCCTTCCACTGTCACTAATCATACCATGTAACACCGTTGAGACTAGCTTCTGGCCATCATGCAACTTGCTTCCTTCGCGTATTGCCAACTTATATTGACACTCATTCTCGGCTGATTTTGCGCACCACTCTAGTACGGCCCGATGGTCCCGGTGCCCAGCGTCCCCGACCCGAGCGGCCCCGGCCCGCAATACGGCGCGCCCCCACACGCTGCGCTGCAAGTGTACTGGGAGCGCGCCGCCGCCTCTTTTGACAGCCATGCGCTGATGTTGGGCCCCGCCGGGGTATGCACATAAACCTGGTCTAGAGGCAACGTCTCGCGCCTGCAGGAGGCCGGGGGCATTGGGGCAAGATTCACGAAGAAGCAACGGGGAAAGTTTTGCGCAAAGCTTTTGATGACAGTCTCTGATTCCCCTTCCAAGGCAAGGTGATATGGGGCCTACTGCGAGAAGACGAGTTGGGTGTTGGATCGCGAAGCAGTCCTGAGCAGAGCTCGGTGTCGAAGGTTTGTTTGGTCAATCCCATTATGATTAGGTTCAACATGCTTTTCAAACAATGAGAACGAAGCCGAGGCAAGGCGAGCTTCCAAACGACTGAAGGAGAAGAAGGCTTGACTTCAAGCACCGGATCCAAACTTCGACAACTTGATTCGATGTCCTCGACCGCACCTGCAGAGGAGCGGGATGATGGTGGGCCACTGATCGTCCCGCATGATGAGGTACTGCGGCCGCGGCGCGGGGTCGATCGCAATTCTGTAGACGGCTTCTCCCACGTCCCGGGGGTTCAGGCCCTGACTCTTGAAGTACTCGATCACTTGACCCCCCACCGCGTCGGCCAATTGAGGACAGCCTGCGAAAAAATTAATGCTGTCAGTAATGTTGAGTATTGAGCACCCAACAAAGTGTTCGACGTGGTTTAAGTCCTGAATGATTGTGCGTTCGACGTTTGACGTACTTGCAGTCCCGGTTCCTTGCTGCTTGACCACGACAGCCGTTGCAAACCTTTTTCAGGGCGGGCTGTCAAAGCTCTCTCTGTCTGCCACGTATTAGTACCATTATGATGAGTGACGAAGGGTCATTGATTTCCTATCTAAGGTCTTTGAACGCCATGCGAGTCCGGCTAAAATCGACAGAAAGTGCTCAGGACATCCTTTCAAATACTCGGGGAGGCGCCAACAGCGGGTCGCCAACTTTTGAATCTAGTCGAATGCTCAGGCTTGGCTCCAACGAGCGCAGCAACTTCGTATTTCGAATCCTGTAAGAGACTTTCAGCGGGCCGACCCCCAAGACAACATAGTACTCTCAGTGGAGCTTGCTCGTGGACCGTCTGACTGTGGGCAAAGTCCAGTCAGATTGGCGCACAGTATCGAACAGCGGGGACTCAGCATAATCTCCAAATTCCAAGCTTCCATCCGACATGTCGTTTCAGATTTTGTGGAAGCGCAATTGTGCGCGCGCGCTCACCGTCGGATGGCGTTGTACCCGAGGCTGGTGTTGACGGTTCCGAGCATGATGGCGATGACGTCGATGTTACTGGGCGTGCTCCCGGGAGCTGCCCCGGAGGAAACCCAGGTCTTCTGGAGAGCGTGGAGGCCCCACTTGGAAACGGTGTACGGCCCGCAGGTAACCGGGGCTGCCGTACAGGGAGGCTATGGAACTGGTCAGCAGAATGCGCGCGTAGCCTGGGAGCCTATTGTGGGGATGTGTCAGGGGTCGCATCAATACTTATGGCTTGGAACGAGGGGCCGGAAAGAAGCGAGCAGGCTAGGGGATGTGACGGCCGCGATCAGCCATGGGCAGGGGCTCGTAGCGGCGTACAACCAAAAGATGGACAAGGAAACCGTTGGAACGGCTAAGTCGATCAAAAGCAGCTGACAGATGGTCGTCGCGTCTGAAGCTGATATCAAGAGGGGGCTGTTTTGTCTTAACTCGCATGTTGGTTCGATCTGATCGAAACGCATCTGACTTGCGCAGATACGGATCAGAGCGACATTTCTGGAGAGACTTAAACGTATTACAATATCCTTTCGGATGACCGGTCCGCCATTGACTCCAGAGATCTGTCTTGTGTACTTACCCGTGGTGGGCATTAGACGGAGCGTCGCCTGGAGGACTCTCACGGGGCCCCAGAAGTTGGTGTCGAACGTGAGCTGAAATTGCCGCAGGTCGCTGTTCACAATGTCCCTGATGAACAGCCGCCCTGTAGGTAGTAGAGGCGCACGAGGAAACGTTAGAAGCCAAGGCCAATTCAGAATTTCATTTTGAGGTCGTAGAAAACAAAGGCTAATTCTTGGCTTGTAATGCATAAGGTAGAATCAGTTCGATTCGCAGCCTCTTGACAGTTGAAGGCCAAGGATACGGGTGCCCCTGAGGCACTGCGAAGACACCCCTGACCTGAAGGCTGCTCTTGAGGCGTAATTGAATGACGGATCCAGATGCTCGATGGGTAACTCCGAGAAATGGAAGATACGCTGTGCAAAGAAAGCACGACTGCAGTAGAATCCATCAACCAGCGGTTCATACGCCGCTTCATGATCCTCTCTGCTTGTGGAAGGAACTTCAGAATATGACGATGCGAGGCCTTCAGACAGGGCCACGTACCCGCGTTCAGATAAAGGAAGTCGATTTCGCTGTAGTTGGATGCGATGCGGTTTATAAGCTGCTTCACCGAGTCATCCGACGTCTGGTCCAGCTGGTACAGCTGCCAATTGGCGGCTGTGGGTACCGCCACGGATACCGCGAAGTCCCGATCACGATCCCGCCCGCGGCCGCCAGCCGATCCGTAGCCGCGCGGCCGATGCCTGGGGTGTAAAAGGACGCTCTTCTTAGCGGGTGGTAGACGCTGCAGGGGAAGCTCGACAAGCATTCCTTGCCAGAAGTACATTCATGTAAGAACACTCGATAACTTCCAGTGTGTGCTTTGGAGAAGGTGCCAGAGATGCGGCTGACGACCTCCTGGGTAATTGGTCGTGACGCTCCGTTACGCCTTGTCCAGGCCAAAGCGCCAGCTCTTTAAGATCCTTTATCAACTTGAAGCAGCCAACTACGAAACCGATCCTCGCGCTAAGACGCTGCTAACAGGATCGAAGATGTCACGAACGTGGACCTCGCGTCTCGCATGCTGGCTGAAGTAACTGCACCGCTCGAATCAAACAACATGTCAGACAGACAACACCCTTGCAGAATCACCCCAATTTGAGTTTCAATGACTATCCATTAAAACTTGTTTTGACACAATTGATCCCCGTTACAAAGCCTCACCGGTCGATGCTCCTGTAACGAGGGCAATCCTCCCGGCGATGTTCTGCATATTTGCAAGAGTAAGAGATTCAATCGCACATCCCGTGCACTCCTCTTGGCAGCAGACTTTCGTTTTGTAACATGCGGGTCGCATCCATTGCAGGGCAGATTAAGACACGTTCGGCTCGTTCCAGCCGACGGAGACTTGTTGGCCTGCTCAAAAGAATTATCAGATTTGCTCAACTTGCATGAGTAGATATTGCAGCGAGCCTTTGTAGCTCACGAATCCAAACATTTCAGGACCCGAACCTTCATATGAGATGCACATGGATGACCTTCCCAGGGTTACGAGCCACGAGGAAAAGCAGAAAGGAGTCTCAATTTTTGGACGATTCTGCAAGTCCAACACTGCCTACCACCAGCTAGGATCAGAAAGGACGCGATTCGACGCAATCTTCATCTTCTTCAAGGAACCGAAGTGGTGGTGACGCTCAACGAATCTTATCAGGCATGGAGGCCCCGAGGGCGACGACGGCTGTCCGTTCGTCTGGCAGGGCAGTGGCCCGGTGTAGTTGGCAATCGCCCACCGGTTGAAGACGTGGCACCCGGGGGGAACCAAGCTCGCGTCAACGTTAGGCTCGGGCACTGCGTTAGTGTCCGTTTGGACATTTCCGTACGATCCGTAGTAGGCGTTCGTGTCCATGAAACCGGTCAGATTGTAGCCCAAGACCGGGTCCGGGGGCTGGTCGGCGCTAACCTGTAGAGACCCGGGGGGAATCCCCGAGCTGCCATTGGAGCTGCCGTTTGAGCCCGGGGGAAAAGGGGGCCCGGGGCGCTTGGGCATAAATGGCTGACAGTGCCGAGGCGAAAACCGAAAACCCTAGGAACAGGTTGGCCGATCCCTGCGCGAAGAGAGACGTCCCTCGCGCCATTCGTCCCAGAACCTCGTAAACATCGATCCGCTCAAGAAAGCTAGCTCCCACGAAGCTCGCGTCTTTTGTGCAGACAGAGCTAAGATTTAATGTGCAAGCTCAAGCATGCGTAGCCGGTCACTTCCATTCCTGAGCCTTTTGAAAAGAGACAAGAGACATTTCCCTTGCAAGAAAGTCGGCCAACCAGCTAGAGCCTCCCCAAGCTACTCCTGCCTTTAGCTATTGGATTGGGTATCGTAATCGTAACCTCCCCTTTCCACTTGGGGGCACCGATGGGACGATGAAAGAACGCAGAACTTCCCAAGGCAAAATGGGAAAAAGAGCGCTTTCCATGGTTGTGAAGCCAGACCCTCTAAACCCGCTCCGAGTACGCAAGCGGCGGCAACTTTCGTGCAAGCTTCGCGGCCGTCTTTTTGGACGTGGGCGCCAGTCTCACCTTGATTCCTTTCAGCTGAAATCAACCATTTGGCACGACCCTGAAGCGTGGCTCCTCGAACCTTCGCATGTCACCGTTGCAGAAACTAAGCCTTCAATTGTTCAAGGGCCACGTCGAGAAGTTGCGGAAATTCGAAAGCCGCGCGGGCTGGGTTCGACAGTGTCATTCACAACGCTTTTCGGGTGCGGTATCTGGCGCATGGTCTCACCCAGTTCGTCAGGTGGAACCGCGGAGTCAGAAGTGACTGCCTCGCGGAAAAGTAGCATGCGCAGACAGTGTTGGAAACCGAGTCTTGCATGCGCCTCATGAATATATGCAGACGTTGGCTTGCTTCACACTGGTCGTGATGCGTGCACTCTCGAGAAGTGGGTGGAGCACACCGCTTTGCTGCTTCACAAGTGCCGCATCAGCAGAAGACATTGAGTTCGCGATCTGAGAGGGCGGCACATGCGGGATTGCGCGGGCACATACTATAGTCAGTTAGCTGCGGCACCGTGAAGCCTAAGCGCTTGGACCAGATAAAAAGGCGGCGGCGGCCGGCCCGCGGCCGGCATAAGCCGCGTGTGGTCACGTGGGCACTTCCCGGTGCAATTACTGCAAGACCGTAGCGTACCGAAGCAGCTTCTGCTGCAGCAGCTTCGGCAGCTGGAGGGCAGCTGGATTGGGTTGAGCTAAGACTATTTTGCAATCTTCGTGTACAATTGTGCAAGCGCGTATTTCTAATGTGTCTTGCAGTGGCGCGGCCCCGTAATAAAAGCCCCAGCCGCGGCGAGGTGCGCGGCATGCAGCTCAGCAGGCCCACAACCACTCCGGAATTTGCGCCACCGGTTAAAAATAATTCACGATCGACGGTTCCCGCACCGTCGCGTATATAGTGTTTCACAGTGAATTTTACCAGTAAAAATTATTATTAGAGCCCGTTAACACCGTGCACATTCACCTGCACTAGGTTCCTGATCAACCAGAAATTCCTCAGTGTTAAGGGGCGTATGTTCGAGACTTTGACCGTTCACTTTTTCAAAGTAAGGTCTCTAGGTCGCGCTATAAATTATAGAAGGTGGAAAATATACGGGCAAATTCGGCCTCGAGAAATCGCTAAGTCCGAAAATTTACCCTGAAACCAAACTCGCCGTACGACTCGGCACTGCGCCGGGACTTACACTTAAAATTCAAGAGCCGCGCTAGACTGAAACAGATAACGACACAACCATCGTGAAAACTTATAATTCCTGGAAGGGTTGTGCCCGGATATGATGACTAAGACGGCCGCGCGGCAGCGCGGTGCCGGCCGGGTGCGGCCGCGGCGTCGCTGCCAGTCACTAGCAGGCTCTAGCTTGCCGCGTCCGTCGCGGCTCGGCGCACTCTTCAAACTTGGCTGAGGAGTCGCTTTGAAAATTGAGAGGCGCTCTGCATGGGGCGCTTTAAATGGAGGCGGAAAGACGAGCAGCGGCTGAAGACCTCCTGAGGGTGCCAGCAGTCTGCCTGAGCTGTTGGGCAGCAGCCCCTAGTAGCAGAACTGGGGAAGAGACAATTAGTGTGCAGTGCCTTACAGTGAGTGTAGCGCCGTCAGCTTTTTGTCGGTATTCTGCCTTTGACAGCAGCACCCTTCTTTGGAGGCAAGCTGCAAAGATTGGATGTATCGTCAAGGGAACTAAAACAGCGTGCGTATCTTTGCTCACTTGATTCTCTCTGAGAATCTGAAATCAGTCCAGCCAAGTAGCGCTTGCGCAATATAGAGTCATGGCGACTCTTGCATGCCCCCAAACGCAATGTCTTTTCAACAGAGCCTTTGGGAAGCAGGTGGTGTATGCAAGGCAGCCACGACACGGCTTATGCCTAGCGTTTAGACCCATTGCTGAAGTGCGTGTACAGTTGCTTCAATCCTGGGAGGGGAGGAGGAATAGAAAGAATCTGGTGAGGAACATTTTGCCCATACTTAATGTGATTCTGATATCTCTTTGTGTTCATCTTCTGTGGCCTGCTCGGGGTGAGCCATCTTGTCAACAATTCCTGATGGAGCTGGCTCTTCGTGAGGGTTGCGGTGACCAATGCCGGGCAGCTCTTCCTTGATAAGCGCTCCTGCATCTTTTGCAACTCCAAGGATTTGATTTTGGATGATACTTGTCCATGTGTGGACTTCTTGTCATTTAATTGCACATCAAGTCCCTTTCTTTGCAACCGAGCCACTGTCAACATTCGTCTGTCTTGGCCGCAACTCATTAAAGCGCAAGCGCATGTAGTTTTGGCATTAATGAAAGATTGGTCAAGCCCTGCCCTCTTAGAAAGCTCACAAAGAGTCGGGCAGTGGTTGAAACGGTCGCCGGTGATCATGCAGACTGCGCCTGATTGTTGTGGCTTGTGGGGCAGCTTCACAAATGCGCTAGACCACGCACCTCCAGGCTTTTTAGAGTGAAGGAGATGTTGGTCAAACTTAGTGCCACTGTGACATCAGTGAAGGATGAGACTTGCGTAAACCTTTCAGCAATTGAATGGTGGCCCCTAGCATGTCGAGGTCCTTGAATCTGGAGTCTGGACTCTGTGGACATCAATCAGATGTGCACAACACTTTGGAAAACCCTTGTATTCTCAGTATTCGTGGTTCCATGAAGAGATTGCAAAGTGCATGTGTGAAAGTTTGTCGATTGTGCGCAGTGCTTCAGCCAAGATGATTAGTCGAGTTTTGCACTTCTTGAAATTTAATATCTTCTCTGCAGGGTGTGGCAGAAAAGCCACCTTCCGAATGTGGAATCAGCCGTCCATCGGTCCTGCCTCCGACCGTCGTAAAGCCCAATTCATGAGACGCGGAAAGCCAAGTGCGCCGGGGCTGAGGGCGGCTATGCATTAGGACTGGGTCTGAAGAAGGAGGAAGTAACCCCAGATGGGGCACAGCCCAGTGACCCAGACCTTCATGGGGCATCAGATCTAAGGTCCCTGGTAAGTGTTAACTATGTCAAAAGGTCACACTTTCCTCTGCCTTTTCTTTTGTACGACTAGGAGAACCCTGGCAAATGCTTCCATGTTTTGGAGCAGATTGCGCGCGTCCTCTCAAAAAGCTCAAGTTCTGATCCCCCTACAGCTGTTCCAATCTTTGGAATCGACAAGACCCAAAGGCAAAAACGGACAGCTGGCAATGAAAAAGGAACCCTTTTGTGTTGACCAGGCCATTGTACCTGCGGCCCTCTTTCGGTTTTCATGCGCATTCTGGATGTCTTGAGTCGTTGTTTTTTCAACTGATGGGGACTGCTCCACCACCTCCTGGACCATTTGATGAACCTCTCATTAGACTGGTCCTTGAAGACTGTTGTCTACAATGATGAAAAAACGCTCGACACATTGCCCAACTTGCGATCCTTCCTCTGGACAAGAAAGTCCATGATTGCTCGCAGAACAAAGTGTCTTAAAAAGCGATTGTGTACTCACTGGCTGCCGTACAGGGCCCCAACTTCGCTCTTTTCTCGTTTCTGGCCTTCACTGTCCTTGTCACCCTCCTCACCCTAGTCATCCTGACCCGCCACCTCACAGCCGCTTCCATCTTCCCCTCAATAGCTACAGCGGTCTATGCCAGCCAGTCCCCCTCCTTCCAGACCGTGTATCCGAACCCCCCGGCGAGCGGCTGCTGATCCAATCTTTTGCGGCAGCCTTCGCAGCTGCACTCAACTGGCCCTTCAGCGAAATGGTGCCTGGGAAGCGTGTCTCCCTGGAGAAGCACCCTTCACGTAAGACGCTAGGGCTGTTCAACCTGTCCTAGTCGAGCTTTTTCCCTCGAAGAAGTTTATATTTTAATTCTCCCAGGCTTTTGAATCATCAGCCACGTACAAATAAAATTTTGATACGGAATCCATTGGTTTTTACACGCGTTTTTAAAGCAGTCTCTATGAACAACCGAGTACAGTTTTGTAATCTCGACTCTCTTTCGACTGGTCTGTTTAGCCGTCAACATTACTTGGGAAAAAGAATGGTCATACGAGTGTGCCTCATCCAGAAGTGACGAAGTTCTAAAGGCGCTTGGCAACGTCAGTCGAGATGGTGCAAAGACCGGATGTCTTCACATGTTACTGAGCACACACCGGCTTATCCCAGGTGCGCACGGGCCGTTCAGCTTTTACCACGTGGCTATTTGGACGAAAAAGCAGGAACGCACAACTTTCAGGCATCTTTGCCCAGCTAATTTTAGATTCAGCGTCGTTTCCTGAAGCGTTCACCCGAACCCTTCACACCATTGTGCCAAAAATCGCGTAGCACGGGTGCACAGCTATTAGGAAAGCCACTAACAGAATTGACCAAACGAATTTGCGCGCGCATATTTCACTGCCTGCGAGCTCATGGAGTTTGCCGCTTGACAAAGCCTTTTCTCACATGATGGTAAACCGATTTCTGCCTCCGGCATCTGCTGAGACCACTATTATCTTGCTTCTCGCAGGGACCACCGTCGCAAGAGCCTGCGGGATAGCGTGTGGGACGCCTGGAGTTGCTTCACGCCTCCACCAGCCACGTAAAGGTTGGTATGCGTCCAACGAGTCTAGGAAGGGTCCGTTCTGCAACGAATATCGCTTCTGTCGCCGTCATTCAGAGTTACAAGGTGCTCCTGAAGCCCTTCCGTCTTCTGTCAGAAATCAGGTATGAAAGTGACGTAAGAGGGGTTCTCGTTCACCCTCCCCCGAATCGTGGTGTCCTCATCCGTTGAGACCTGGAGAGCTGCCTTCCGTCCAGATTGCGGACTTGTCGTCTGGCACTATAGTGATGCTTCACCCTCTTCTCTCCTTCATTGTCAAGCGAAGCTCGAAGAGGCTTCGCAATTTCAGGGTCGCTTACGGTCGTTCTTTTCTCTCGCATGCAGGAGAAGAGCTTTTGTGCTCGTGCGGGCTGGTCTGATGCTTGCCCTAGGGGCGCTCTTCTGCTGGTCGTTGCTGACCAGTACTATGACCACATCCTTCAAAGTAAAGTCCTCAAGTTTTGCGCACTTGAGAGTTCCTCAGAAACTCTGAAAACATGGTACCGATCCCTGTGTACCATCGGTTTGTGGATTTTGTTTGAACCGCGAAGCCTTAGCTCCTCGCTGCTCAAACGAGTCTCGTGCAATTTTCAGACCCTTGTGTTCACCGGTGCGTTTTGAAGGACATTACAGTGTCGAAGCCAAAGACCAGAGACTGCGACTGTGTCGCCAAAAGGCGCTAGAAATCCAGTATAATCCGTCTATCCTGGTTGCAGAGCCGCATGGAGCGGCTGCGAAAGGGCGCGCATTCGAAAGTGATGGAGCGGGATCACATCGTGGTGGCCGGTACCAACGATCGTCCACTTTGGCTACTGCGCCAGCTCAGGAAATCGCACGAATCGAAGATTAGGGACGGCGCCGCCAAAGGTGAATTGCCTTTCTGCTGATGTAAACTCTGCGCTGCTTAAGGAGTCCCTTTTGAGAATCTGTGGAGCGTCCAAATTCAAGGGTGGACGTCTGTGGGGCATCTGGCATTGCGGAGTGCGGTGTACCGGCATTGGAGTGTATGGGCGGTCTTGTAATGGGTGATCGTGGGCGAAACTGTTTTTGGAAATGCGCAAACACTAATTGCTGAAGCGCAAATTCACCCTAATTGGCGAAATTGGTGAAAATATCTGTAGGCTTACGCAATCTCTTGCTCCTCAGCCTATTACTTGGTGCCAAATGAGGTATGGGTCTGACGCAAACCCAACTACCAGCCGCCTCTAAGGCAGTCTTCTCATACAAGGTCAAAAGTAACTGCCACCTGACCCCAGAATGTCGTTGACACAGGCGTTCTACGCCCGCCCGCCTATGTGCGGCCGCGCTCAATTTCGCCAGCCTGCGCAAACTGATGCACAAACCTGACTGGCGAAATCAATCAGGTTTCGCCGCGAACACTGGCAGGAGCTTTCAGAAAGGCCCAGTAATTCTTCGCTACATCATTGCCCCTTGAGCCACACTCTGGTCCTTGCTGTGGCACTCCCCGGATATTTGTTCTTGCGTCCGAAGGCTCCATCCGCACCATGGACGTTTGCTGTGGCTGCCAAACACTTTCTTCTGAAGCTCCATATCAAGTGCCCCGGCATTGTCGATGCGGGCGGACCAGATGCCCTGACGCCCACCCCCCGCCCACCAAGTCATTGTGCCGGAGAGTGATTTTGGTGCAGCCGCTGACTGGTGTTCGCTTGCAGGAGCCAGACGGTTATTATTGGAGCACGTCCCTGCCAGGGCGGACACGCTGGTCCAGTCGTATGCGGCTGATTGCCCACAGCTGGACACCATGTCATGAAGGTGCGGATGCTTGTCTGGTCCTTGTTGCACAATTCTTAGATTGTTTTGTGGCCCTTTGTGGTTTGTGATTTACTCAAGGATGTCAGAATGAAGTGTGGTCCAGCCAAAGGCCTTTTCCAACATCTCTTATGGTCAAGGAAGGTCATCTCTTATGGTCAAGGAAGGTCCGTGGAAGTGCAGATCTGCCTGGGAGCTCACCTCCTGTAGGTGCTCAAGCCTCAAGGGTTTGCGCCGTTAAAAGATCGTCTCCGTGGGACGCCTTTCCTCACAGCGACAATCGTTCAATTGTTTCCCTTTGACATTCCGCCTGTGGGGCCTGAAGTTCCTACACGTGTCTTGGTCGAAGCTGACGTCACTGTCATGTCATCCTTGCAGCAGCAGCTCTCAGCAACTCTTCACTCCTTTGGACGCGTAGCTCCGGACGAGGCGTGCGCGGTCATCCTCCCGCAGACCTGCAGCGAGTAGTAAGTGACGCAGCCTTCGTTGACAGCCTTCTCAAATTGCAGAGTTGCGCCGAAGTATTTCCTTTGGTTATCGGCTGTGTCAGTCCTACATGAAGCAGGTTGTCGAAGAATTTTGGATTAGCTTCTCCGTTTCAGGACTGGGTATGGCCACGGAGACATCACCCGCCGGACTGCAGCCCCGTCTTCTTTGGCAAATTGCCGTCGCTGGAGAGCCTGCTTTCTCTCGATCTGCATCTCCCTTTGGCGACTGCTTCGTGTCTTGGAGCTCGCCCTTCAAGAGACAAGCCTCAGACTTACACAATGTGCACAATTGAAGAGCGCAAGGCCATGCGAATCAGGTTCAGAGAAACCTGTACAGAAACTTAGAAGAGACTCACGAGGCGCCGCAGCTTTTGAGGGCTCTCTTTATACATTCAGGTACCTTGTTCCGCCGTTGTCTGAGAAGGCGTGCATGCTGTGCAGGTTTGAAGGAGATGTGTCGGCCATCATGAGCACTCTTTGTGAGCGCCCTGTCCTGGACGAGGTGGAGGACTCGAAGATCATTGTGAAGGTGAGTCTTCATTCCGGAAAATTTTCGCAGTTTATGCCCATGTTCTCTGCTATCAAGGAGCACTGCGCTCGTTTTTCTGTCTGATTCAAAGCCTTCTAGTCAGCTGCTCTTCAACCTGACGAGCATCAGATTATGGGCTTAAGGGTTTCTCCCGAAAATAATGGTCGCAAGGTTGTGTCGAGCTTCCTAGACAACCGTCTTAGGACGTTCCTGCTCGGTGAGCAAAGGTTTTTGAGTACTCGTGTCGGCTGTTTTGTGCGGATGGTTAAACGGCGAAGTGGTGGATTCAAAGCTTAAACAAATCAGCAACAGCAGCCCCATTAGTGCACGTTTACGGCATGGGACTTCGTAGGAAGTGCTTGAGCCATAATCCGTTGACTGCGAGGGCTGGTTTTTTTTGTCGGCTGTGTAGGGGAACGTCTCTCTTACCCTTAGAGCCTGCAAGCTGCCTACTTTTGCAACCCAACATGCAGATTATGCTGATTTTCCAACCTCAGTTATAGCTTTAACCGTCGCTTGCCAATCTGCTGGCATCGTACCCGTTCTGGTAATCGAGACAGAGAGCAGGATTTGGTCGCAAGCAACAAGGCCTAGCAAAGGGCACACGGCAGACAGTATACCTTGATGATGGCCATCCGCCTCCTGCTCTGGTTGCTCCCCTCAGCTCTCAGCTGTCTTTAAGCCTTTGTCCGGACTTTTCGGACTCTTCGGTCTTGAGTTGAGCCGTGCGGATGACCTTTCCAGATTGTTTGGTCATTTTCTCAGAAGGCTCTGACGCCATTTACTGCTGTGACTTGCAGATTGTTAGAGCGCACCCATCCGTGTTTACATCGGCACGAGTCAGCGAGCTGATGGGGCTTTTCACGTCACACGTTAGATCGCACGTCACACGGGCTGTTGTTGCTGATGTTAACACGGACAGAACGTCTGCACCTTCAAATTTGTTCATGGAGGCAACCTCTCGTCAGACTTAGCGGTTTTTGTCGCCATCGGATGGACTGGACTGGCTGCTTTTATGCAGTAGTATTTACCCTAAGAGTAAGAACCCTCCCCCTGTCAGCTTGTATTGGCACTCCTTCATCCGAGGTCAGGATTCGCATCTGCGCATCGAACTTCGAATCGTGATGGAGCGCGGCTGCATGTTCCGCTGTCTTTTACAACGCAACCAGCGTTTCCGACGGAGCGCACTTTGGGGCGGAATGGGCCCCTTAAGCCTTTCCTGCGCTCTGGGGCTGATTTTGGGGCGCCAAATGGGGCGCACGTCACAGAATGAGCTCCAAGTTTTGGAGCTTATAAAACCATAACCATTTGATTTGTTTGGGAATGGTTACAATCTGGCCAATTTTCGCAGCATTCTCCCAATAGTTCTGGGATGTCCTATACGATCATTTAGTAGTTTGAGGTTCGGAAACCAAGCCCTCCTTTATTGGATGGTGTTTCACAAGGCCTCACAATTTCACCAAAGGCCTCAAGTTGTGCCAATGTGTGGCCGGCATTTTTCAAGTTTCGGTTTATCACAATATGACCTAGCTTTTTGATCGGGTATACATCATATCTGCAGATCATAAGCAGCTAATCAAGGAACTAAATATAGTAAGCCGGGGCAGAGGGTTTTAAATCAACCAACTTATAACATGGGAGACTAAAAGGTGGCCCGTGCGCCGGGCCTCAAGCGGAGTCTGGGGCGCAAGAGGCACGCCCCGGCATACCATGATTTATTGTGGTCCGGTCACCTCGTTTAATTAGTACACGCTCATGCGGGCCATGATGGCGGGAAAAGAAGCTATTTAATGTTTGGGCTGATTGTTCCGACATCAAAATCTTAAACCGAACAATAATTCTAGTAACCGAGCGCGGTCATAACAACGATTGAGCTTAGCATGCAACATATGGCGCGCTATCATTATCCGACCCTCACCATTGACATGCTACCAGGCCGCTAGCTCATCCTGCATGGCGTAACTCTATCTACCTAGTTTGAGTCGGATCCTATCATTCATTGTCTCCATTCACTGTCGGCAAAGAAGGTTCCAATCTAAGCTAGCTCGTTTCCCGTCTTTACCTTGTTGGCATGTCCATAGCGTTGTTGAAGAAGGTCGCGACCCCGCCCCTAACTCGGAGGCCGCAGAAGCTATCACTGCCAGATTGGAAAGTCGATTCGATTGCAGGATAACTTATAAGGTGAATTTGACCGTGGATATTCGTATCGACGGTGCGCAGAACCTCAGCCAAATGGTGGAGTTCCGATGGTGTCAATTGCGCCCCATGTGTACGGAAACTGGGTGATGAAATGATGAC